TTGCCTAAATGTAGAACCTTACTCTTTTCACCATTGAATTTCATTTTATTAGATAGTGCTCCATGTTCAAGTTTGTCAAAATCCTTCTGTATCTTAAGTCTCTCTTCTGGAGTGTTGGCTATTCCTGCCAGCTTGGAGTCATCTGCAAATTTGATGAGTTCCCCATTTAGTCCCTCATCCAAATCATTGATGAAGATGTTGGTTGTAACTTAGTTGCTATGCCTATTCATTGGCTGACCTTGTTACCATGTCTCTGCCAGTCATGAATATTCTGACACCTTTGCTCACCTTGGTGATCTGGATATTGTTCAGCTGCTGCTGCCAATAAAGAATCATCTCCATTCGGTGGACCCACATGTTTATGTTGCCAACTAGAACGGATTTGCCAACACTCTGGACCAAGGTGCAAAGTGACATGTATAGAGTCTGCAGCAATTCTTTTATCAGTCTGATATTCTGTTGATCCTCTAGAACTTGATGGGGGAAATGAGAGAAAAGGGACATTCAGATACAGGCGAAGAAGAAAGAAGCCAACAAACTAAAGAAAAGTCACTTTCTTCCAGAGAGCCACAGAGAAGGTTCACTTTTGCTTCTCGTCCTTCGCTTCCAGGAATGTTTCAGAGTTTCCATCCTACATAGCTTTCAGTCCTTACACAACCATTTGAAATGGCCTTGCAAATTATCCCATAGACTTAACAATAATTAGAAATGTAGAGAACGCCATGACCTAGCCAATGTTCCCCTGATGTTGACCAGTGCTGCTGATCTTCATAAGACCTTAAACAAAGTTATTTTTTTATTATTATTTGGGGCCTTTCTGCCTTGGGTGATAAGCCAAATCGTCATTACCTTCTCCTATCTCAAAACCTGTCACCACTCCGAAGTGTGAGACATGCATATAACGGTATCACTCTTGGGAAAGACAGGCTGATATGACATTCAGAGAGGGTTGGGAAGAGCAAGCCAAAGCGATTTTACTCATCCATGTCATTTTTTCATCCTTTTCTAATTGGTGTCCTCCATATCTAAGACGTTGGATTATCACTAGTTATGCTGGCTATATATAATGGAGGCTCTAAGGAGGATGTCATATTGAGAAGAATCGTGATTACTATATATTGCAAGGGACGCGGTGGCTCAGTGGCTAAGACGCTCATCTTGTCGATCAGAAAGGTTGGCAGTTTGGCGGTTCGAATCCCTACCTCCGTGTAATGGGGTGACCTCCTGTTACTTGTCCCAGCTTCTGCCAACCTAGCAGTTCGAAAACATGTAAAAATGCAAGTAGAAAAATAGGGACCACTTTGGTGGGAAGTTTAACAGCATTCCGTGAGCCTTTGGCATTTAGTCATGCCGGCCACATAACCACGTAGACATCTTCAAACAGTGCTGGATCTTC